ATCCACGCGCAGCACCGTGCGCAGCGAGTGCCAGCAGGAGCATCTCTCCACTGCTGTCCCAAGCGCCTGCCAGCCGTTCGGCACTGACGTTTCTATTATCAGAAGCAGCTCTGGCTCCACCCTTAACCCAGTGGAGACGGGACTTAACGAGAAGCCTCCTCATGTCCAGGTGCGTCGCCCGCCTTACTCGGCGTGAGAAAGCGGGCACGTGCGTTAGTCAGGGCTTTGTGGTGGCCGAGCCTAACTGGCATGAGCTCACGTGGGAGACACCCCAACCATCCCTTCACTTGTCTCCCTTCCTCAGGCTGTGTCTCTAACACTGCAGAGAGTGGTCTCCTTAAGACGCAAAGCTGCTCGTGCACGTCTGCATGTAGTTAGCACTGCGCTTAGGCGAAGGTCCCAGATCAGCCCGCAAGGCCCTTGGGACACCTGTCCTCTCCCGTCCGCTCACCGCGCTCCAGCCACGCCGATGTCTTCCAGTTTCCTGAATGCTCTTTGCTCTCTCAAGGCCTTGACACGCGCTATTGCCTCTGCCTGCGCCCCACTCCCGACCCCCTGCACCTCCATGAGCATCCCAGGCACCTCGCCGAGGTCTGCTTTGACCTCGATGGCTCCTTCCGAACTCCCGAGAGACGGCAGCTCTGCAGTTGTGACTGGCTTGACTAGACCCAAAGAACCCAGCCTTCACCCTGGGGGAGAGCAGGGCGGGCAGGGGTGTTAGGTGAGGGGACAATGTTGGTGGTAGGGGGGGCGGGCGGCTCTCATGGACCAAGCAGCCCATGGCCTGGGAAAAGGGAGCCAAGGGAATTTGGGAAGGGGTATAAATTGGATCAAATGTATTATCATATTAATCGCTCTGCATATCAAGATGTCTTTCTTACATCCTAGATGGTTCCAGAACCCAAAGGCGAACAGATCGCCTCCTCTCTGCTCACGTGGCTCTTTCGGACATTGGCACGGGAGCAGTCAGCCTAAGGAAAACCTGCCGGGTGCCCAGCATCGGCGAGGGCGACCTTGCCCGCTTTTCCCTTCCGCCTTTCACATGCTTCTTACTCACAGGGCTGCTGTCTGATGAAGGGAATGAGGCTTCTTCCTGTGTGAATTTGCTACGAGTGGGTGGTTTCTAGGAGTTTTCATACCCGGGCTGGAATGGGTAGGATTCTCTTCTAGCTCCAGCTGGCAGAAGCATCCTACTCATGCGGCCCTCAAAGTCATTCTCCAGAGCTCCGTACAGACTCACACAGCCTCAGAGCTGGACAACACCCTAGACGACAGTGACCCTGACCCTGGTGCCCGAGGCTTGTCTGATTAACCACCAACCCTATCTGCAGGTAGACAGGACCCCACGTGCGCATCCTGACCTCTGCGTGCACGCCGGGATCCCAGTGACAGTCACGTGAGTCTTTAATGCCCCTGAGCAACCACATTGTTTTCAGAATGTTTTTCTGGGCATCCAAACGCAGTTGACTCACGGCATATGCCTGTATCTCTTCGTCCGATGTTGAAACGTGCCTGTGGGAGAGTTTCGTCCACCAGGTGGCAGCCGAGCCTTACTAAAGCACACTGTGTCACTTCACCGCCCCATGAAGGAGCAGCCAACAGCTTTAAGGCCACACTGCATAGGGACAGCCCTGCCTCTGCCCGTGGCATTCTCTGGACGACGTTCAACATCAGTGACGCAAACCACGTGGCATCCGATGGCTCCTTCCGAACTCGGGTGTGACACTGCACCACCCGCGAAGCAAGGCCGCCAGGAAGACAGCGTCGCGGGGGCTTCTCTGCCTCACTCTTTGGCCCCCTCGCATTATGCACAGAGGTCCAGTTCCTCGCCAAACCGTGCAGGCCTCGAGGGCCAGCGACTGTCGCGCTCGCCTGTTCCCCTCCTCCCCCAGGGCCCAGCCCCTCTCCTTCCTCCCGCCTCTCTTCTCGGAACTTAGTCTTACATCTCATTTATCTGGCTAACTCCACAACTCCACGTCGTTTATTTTTTACCCCCTTTTTTTTTCCCCCTTTTTTTTTTTTTGTGGAGGATGGGGAGACTTCCCTGACGCCCAGAGACCTTTCTGCTTAAATGTGCAAGAATCAGTTTTTGTTGAACGCACCCTAGAACCGAGACTGACGATGGCAGGGGCGATATGCCTTCAACGCGTAACGGGGTGGCTAAGGTACGGTCGGCGCCAATTCACGAGAAGCAATGAGCGGTGAATTTTATACGCGGCGGGAACTGAACGAATGCCCGGACGCTAACACGAGAGACTTCCGGTACCCATCTTCTCCTTGTCTTGTCTTTGCTATGAGAGAAGAATGGGACGCAAACGCGCCCTTCCCGAGCCCTCGTCCTCCCTGCTCTCAGGGAGAGAGGAACTAAGTTTTCAGTTGCTAATAATTCAGTCTAACAACAAGGGTTGAGGGGTAGAGTGGACCAGAGAAGCAAACGGCTCAGTCCAGAGCTGCCCCTGGACTGAGGGGGTGACCGTGGGAGGAAGGGAGCAGCAAGACCCCTGACAGAGGACAGAGAGCAATTTCTACAGAGAGAGGACCACCGGTCCAGACTGTCGAAGAGCCTCTCTCCCACAGAGAGCTCTCAGGCCCAAAGGAAATGTGTGGACAAGGCTAACGGACGTCTCGGTGGTGACCTGTATGGACAGGTGACAGAAACCAGCTGCCCTCCACCATATGTGGCCCAGAACCTGGGAGAAGCCCGTACAGGGACAGAGGTTTAGCATCAAAATTAAAATGACTCAGAGAACATAAAGGTGATATTTCTCACATGTCTGAGTATGTGAACCTAGACTCATCTTGCCACAATTATTAAATAAATTGGAAGTGCTCAGGGTAAGCAGAAGCTTTTATTTATTCGGCTTTTGCACTGAGCTGCCGGTCATCCCGCTGGCCCCTCAATTTAATCGGGAAGCACAGTGTTTTCATGCACAGAAACGAGGGAGCAGCGACTCCGTGCCTGTTCTTACAGGCTGCGTGGGACAACGCTGCTCCTTGCTCACGGTCAGGAATAGAGCTCACGGAGGCTCCTGTTTCGGTGTTTAGCATTCTCATAAGCCTAAGGTTTCGGTGTTCAGCATTCTCATAAGCCTAAGGTTGAATTTGTGATGTAGAATGTTCCCAGGACAAATGGGGCTGTCTCATCTCTTTGCCTCTAATGATTTACTACAACCCCCTTCTAACTCAGAGGTCCAGAAAATCGAGACTCCTTTTTCAGCTTTTAAATTAAAACCCACGAAGAAAATGTCAAGGTGAGAAGACGTAAAACCATATCAATATATAAAGGATAAGACAAAATAAAATTGTATAACCCTCTTAATAAAAGAACTGCCAGCGTGGAGGGAGGCAGCCTCCTTATTCTAAGCCTTTGCTCACCGGAAAGAGAGGAGGTAAAGCCAGTGTTGGTGCCACGGTTGTGAATAATGACAGACCCCTTCGAATAACTTTATGTGACTAGCTCCACAGTACAAAACAAACCTCTGAACACACCATTAAGTTCGAAGAGGAAGAGGTTTAAAAGAAATGATAAGGGCACGGGCATAATGTGCCCACACGGGGAGCGAACGCTTGCTGCAGTCACGCTCAGCACCCTGGCTTCAGAACGTCACTGAGAAGGGCCCGAAGGTCACTCTGCTACTAATGGGACTTGTGGCTGGCAGTGCGGGTAGGCCTCGGTGAGGGCTTGCTGGGTGGCGGACACAGAAGCACACAGGGATACTGTCTACGACTGTCTGGGTCCAGAACAGCTCTATAGCCAGCATCCACCACGACAGGTCGGTGCCTGGGCCTTTCCAAGTATCTAATGCCACCCCCAACGCTGCCCCCCAACCAGCAGCCTCGCAGAGCCCAGCTTCTGGAAGTGCAGCCAAATCTCCAGGGAAGGAGAAGGCAATTTCCCCCTTTCTGCCTGATGTCACTGCCTCGGGGACGCCTGTGGGAAGTTTCAGACTAGCAATGGTGAGACAGATGGATAGACAGAAAAGCCCAAAACAGAGAAAGATGGCTCGAAAATAGTCTGCGATAGCGAAGGCATGTTGTTTGGGGAAAAGATCTGAGAGAGATGGCAGAGCAAATGTTGGCCGGCGTCTGTAACACATGAGAACCCTGTTTCTCAGAGAATAGCCATTACCAGCGTCCAAATCCCCTGGGCCACCTGCTAAAAACTGAAGAGTTCTGGGTCCCACTCCAGAAATGCAAAATCGGAACTGTGGGGGAGGGAGAGCGAATCGAGGGAATCTGCCTTTTTAACTCCTTTCCCAGGCGGTTCTGGAAGAAGGAGACAGCATGAGAAGGGGCCGAGAGACTGCGCCAGCTCCCACCCTGCGTGAAGGGAGCGCCCAGGAGGAAGGCCGTGAGGGCGACCGGCAAGGCGGGCCACGGGCCGCAAGAGGAGGGAAAGGTCGGAACTGCAGATCCGGGCCAATCTGAATCGCCTGGGAAAACACGGGTACGAAGTGACGCGTGGAGGGCACGTTTGCTCAGAGGGGCTCCCCCTGCAAACGCCTCCCCATTCCGGGAGCCGCCTTCCCCTGTGCGTTGTGGGGGGCGCAGGCTCCAGCTCCACCGTGGGAAGCCACAGCCAGCATTCCCCGCCTCTGCCCACCTGACGAGTGTGAGGCTGGATCAAAACCGGGCCCACGAGGTGCTTCTGCTCCGGGCTTTGCATCTTAAAGGAGAAACTCGGAGACGCAGAGGTTAAATGACGCCCAGCGACGACGGCCCGGTGTCCAGGCGCCCACCGCAGCGGCCGCCCTCGGCTCTTCTGCAGGTGGGGACGTCATGGCCGCAGAGCCGTTTTCCCAGCACGACTTTCCAGCCCCCTCCCCCGCCCCCAAATCTATTAACTGCTCATATATTTTTCAATAAATTCCTTTCTGCCTAAGTTTCTAAGATTTGGAGGACACTACAGGACAAAAACAGACCCATGATGAACTCCTGCAGACACTGAAGAGGAAGAAGCACAGAGTTACGAGACAGAGAACGCACTCGGGGAGCTCGCGATGCGGACTCGGGCTGGGCCGACCGTGGAGAGTCAGAAAGAGCTCACTGGACAGAGACGAGGAACGATGGGCGCCGGTTCCTTTTCTGCCCTCCCAGACTGCTCTGCTCGTATTTCTGTTTTAAGAATTATCTCACTTTACGAAAGTTCTGAAGCCCCCCAGCAGACTGTCAGCGCCACCAGAGTAAGAAGCCCCGCTGTACCCCAGGGCACTTCCGCAGCGGGGCGAGGAGGAAGAAAGGGGAGATTCCGCCTTAAGAAAGGTGCCACGTGCAGAGGGGTCGTTCCCCGCCCCCAGCCTCCCGAGGTGCACACTGAGCGGACCCCGAAGCCGGTCCTCCAGCCGAAGCAGCGCCTGGGTCTCGGCCAAAGCCTCTTCCCAGACGGGCGATCCCCCCGCCGGTGCCTTCGAAGGCGCCTTCTCCTTGCCTTGTCTTCCCACCAGACCCCTTCACGTCCTCTGCGCTTTTAAGAAAGGGAGGGAGAGTCTGTAACTTCGAGTAGCTTTCTTTGGCTTTCCGCCCTGCAAAACTCCTTAGTCGAGGGAATGGGAAGGGCTTAATCACCTGCCTGAAAGGGGAAAAAAATATAATGAACAAAGCACGAATCACTGTCTCAAAGAGTTATCTGGCAAGATCTCTTTCCTAATTCTATGAGGTGATGGGGGCCACTGAGAACCAAGGATCTTCTTCTGTTACTCTGCACTGTCCGTATCATGCTGTGCACACAGAATCCGCCTACGCACATCGCAAAAAAAATGCATGAGAGTAGGAGAAGAGGTGCATGGAGAGAGACAGACAGATGCAGGGGCTAACCATCTGAATCGGTAGGTAGAAGCTCCTAGAGAAACTGGAAGAATCGGATTAATTACGCAGTGGGAGAGATTATATCCAGAAACATGAGACCCCTGTCAGACAGCAGGGAAAGGCCAGAAGGTGGAAGGAGAGTCCCCCAGAAGGTGGAAGGAGAGCCCCCCAGAAGGTCTGCCACGCGCTGTTCTCTACTGTGAGAAGAGGCCATAATGCACGCACCGCGCTCCCATGCTTGGCCTTACGCTCCGTGAGTGTTCACTGCAGTTAACCTGCTCTGGTGCTACCGCCGTGAACTAGTTACGGAGGCAGCACAGAACGTATCTCGTAGGTTTCCAGACTGGAGGAGGCAGCCCTCACCTGATGTCACGGCTGCTGGGCAGCACTCGGTGACCCTGCAATGGGTGCCAGATGCACTGACCAAGCGGAACTTTTGAACTGTCTCTAGAAATTGGGAAGAAGGAAGCAAGTAGCTATTCAGGGACCAGAAGAGGAGCCCAAGGCGGAGACAATGATGCCTCCTTAATTATTCCGTTTTCTCACGCACGTCCCAGCCCGTCACAATGAATCAGGGCCATGCGACCAGTTGAGGCTAACGAAATATGAGCAGGAGGGAAGAGGTCAAATCCGAGCTAAGGCAGCTGGAAGGCCCTCACTTCTCCCGCTGGAAGGTCTGAGCAACAGGATGTGCTTTACAGATGATGGGCCAACGACATGGCCAGCCTGAGTCCTGGAGCGGCTGGGGCAGAATGCCCTGCTGCCCGGTGCTGGACATGCAGTAGGAATGACAAGTGAGCCTTGTGGTTTTGACACAGGTTTGAGGATTTTTTTTCCCAGCTGAACCGATCCTGTCCTACCCGTCCTATCCATGTCTCAATCTCCTTTTTCTCCCTGGAAAAGGGTCACACTGTCCCCGCCCTCCATGGGTGGCCTTTTATGGACAGTCACCGATAGTCTCACAGCTCCTGAAGAAGTTGCCCAAAGACACTGCAGTCATCCTACGTCTCTCGGTCCTGCCACGCGCTTCGGTCCTGCCACGCGCTGTTCTCTACCTTGTGGGAGACTTCTAGTTGCCTCAGAAGCTTCAAACCACACGGGAGAGAAAACGGTGGGGGGTGTCGACAGCTCCCCCGGTTTCATGGCCAGCAGCCCAGGAGCCTCGCACGTTTTCAGAGGCGCACGGTTTCTTTTGATCTAATGAGGCCCCCCGTTCTCTACCTTGTGCTATAGGAACTTGGGTATTTGTTGGTTTATAATCCCATGAATTTCTCAGCCTCCCAGAATCCTCACACCTTGACTGTTTGCTCCTGTGACCGGAAAGAATGACAGACCACCCAATCCGTTCCATGAGTTTAAAATACTCTAAGGCATCCTGAGCTGTGTCAGACCTTGTCCTGCATGAGCATCGTAAGGATCACGTTATGGGCCGTTTATGACCTTGTAGCTGGGGTGGGGATGAAGGAGACACACGTGCTGGTTCTGGGCATCTGAGATACTATCTGATATTCCCACATCCGACACTGCTTAACAACTATGTTTGACTCTCTGCTGCAAACAGCCCCGTTTCCAGCACTAATTATTCAAGACCGTACAGTAAAGGGGAACGTGGTCCTGAAGTTGGGATATAACCTAATTTATTAAAGGAGAGTGTGAATAAAGGTCACTTTTGGGGCCTGCGAATAGCATTTTAATTAGGACCTGCACAGCCGTATTGAGGGGAGGAGAGACAAAGAGGGGGAGATCTGTGTGGACCGGGACAGGGGGCCCAGCATGAGAGGGTCGTGCCAGGGGTCCGGGACTGTGTGCGGGGACAGGTGAGGCATCCACACACACGGGCGTGAAAGTGGTGGGAGTGTGCAGGGCAGAAAAGCTATCGGCTCATCACTGGTCATCACGCAAGGAGCAGGCAGGCCACTGTGGAGCTGGTCCCCACACCGCGTCTCATTTAATCTTCCCGTCAACCGATACGAGACTGACGTGACATGCCCGCTTTACGTGAAAAAACTGAGACTTGGATGAATTTATCGAGGTCACAGGTGGCTGAGCTGCAATGGAAAACCAAGCCTTCCCTACTCTGAAGCCAAGTGCTTTTCCCCAACATGGGATAAATTTTGCCTGTCGAGAGTCTTGATTGTAACATCATTAATTGCCCCTAGCAGCGCAGACCCTGTGCTGTGCCCTTCTCCAAGCTAAAGTGGGGCGGGGGGGCAGGGGGAGGGCCCTTCACCCCCACCAAATTCTACATGGGAAAATCACATCATCACACCTGTAAAAGGAAACTTTCCCAGGATGAACACTGAATGCTGAGTTTCACCCGAACTGTCTCCAACCAGGTGATGTTAAATAGTCCCGAACTTGCAGCAAACAGCTGTCCCAACCAGGCTCACACAGGACTCACAATTTCGAGTGATCTGACGTGCCAGACCCTTACAGGGCCAAACTACAGACTCTTTTCTGATCAATGGACTGTTTTAGCCAATACAGACTTATAGGCTCATCCTGTTCCCTTCAAAGAGGTTGTTTTCTTCCATTACTTCAAACAACGACCTGAAGCCCCCATTCTGGTGGATAGAGCCCTGGACCCCCACTTGCACCCCCCTGCCCCTCAGAGCTGTATGTTCTCTTGCCTGGCAAGCGAATAAATAAACTTGGGTTTTTCTTTAGAGCTCTGGTGGGTTTTGTTTTTCTTCTATGACAAACCTGACTACCCTTTCCCATTTTGATTATGGACGTGGGCTTCCAATATGCTTGCTCTTTGCTAAACTGGCAGCTTTCAACACCAGTCAAGAATCTTGAATCGCTAATATAGATCATCCTGACTATACACAGCCCAGGCATTTTAGGGGATGTGGGACATAAGCCTCTAAGATACTAGCCTTCAACCAAGCAAGCTGTATCTAATTCCAACTATCTCTGGGTTGAAGCTGATGATGTGAAAATGATTATATTAACTCCAGGGGACTCACGAGGAATAACTTTTCCTATGCTTACTTCTCACAGAAATCGGTCACAGAACTCCACCATCTGTGAAAAAGAGGGAAAAAGAACTATTGGCTGTGAATTGTCTCAAGGCTGAGATAACGTCCTGGAGGGGAACCAGCACCTGCTCAGCATCGTCACCGATGAACGGAACGCAGAACGTCTGCGAGGCTATTCTCGTTGACGGTTCATCCAGTTTTCCTTATTTATCCTTCCCAAGTTCCTCAAACAGGCAAGCCAATGCCACCTTCGGAAAGCGAGGTTACAGAGACAGAATGTTCACTAAGCAGACACTGCCAGACTCTGTTACAAGTCACGCCCTGGGTTAGGCTGTGAGACGAAGATGTGCATCAGAAGGAGAGATTATTCCCCTCGAGGAAAGTAGGAGACCTCAGCGGGGCGCAGAAGTCACATGAAAAAACTCCATAAAAATGTCCTGCGTGCACGACAGAGGCATGTCTCAAGTGCTGAGGTCTGGCGAAGCTGAGCAGAGGAATTGGCAACTGAGCTGAGTCTTACAGGACAAACGGAATTTGGCCAGGAGGGGGACGCAGGGAACGAAGGTCTTTCTAGGCAGAGATAAGAGCGTGTGCAATACACCAAGGATGAAACAGTCTGCACAGGCCAAATCGCTTTGAATTACTGAAAGTGGGTAGAGGGGGGGATGGCGGTTGTCGTGAGGTCAGCTTGTCATGGACTGACTTTGCTAAACTAAAGAGTTTGAAATTTATCCTGCAGGCAGTGGAGAGCTCCCTGAAATTTATCATCTGTGGGTGCTTGCACTTCCGGCCAAAATGGAGTAACAGAAACTGCCACTTTCACCATCTTTAACAACTAAAAACTATACAAAATATATGAAACAATGATTTTCACACAATGGACAGCAGCCAATGCCGGAGAGTAATTCCTGAGGGAAGAGAAACAAAGGAACCGAGCCCTACGCGTGCCCGGGCATACTGTCTGGACGACGCTTCTGGGTCGAGAGGCGAGGGGGTGTCTCGCTGAGTGGAGAGCAGAGGTGAAAACTCAGGGAGACTAGCTGGCTGGGATCTACAGGAAGGAGAGCTGCATCGAGAGAATTCTGCAAAAGAGACACAGCGAAAGCTCCAGGGCTCTTGGGGGTGGGTTCCCCTCAAGTCTCCGGCGGAACATCAACCACGACACGCGGCCAGGAAGAGTCTGAATTCCAAAAGCCGGAGTGGAAGAACCTTGTCACCCACCCATGGTGCACTGAGCAGACTATTCAGGGGAGTGTTGACTGAACAGCAGGGAAGAGTAGCCTCGGGCTGAGGGCTTCTCCGCCTCCTTCTATGTGACGAAACTGAAAAGCCAGTCTAGAAGGGAGTAAAGTTTTTCCAAGTAAAAGAACACAGTGTAAGGCTTGAGAACATCTGCG